CCCACCCACTACCCCCAACCACCCACAAACACGCATGCATGCACGAGTTCAAAGTTGGAACTACACTTTCTTGACCTTAGAGCATATTATTTCATTTATTCACGCAGAGAAAGATGTTATCATCAAATGATGTCAGTATAAGAAGTTTAAGGGTCAGTGCGAGCAGTGTTGCCAAAAACTTGCACGACATATTATGCTAAATTACATTCATCTTATAATGTGATGCTGCATTTACTCTAGAGAGTGATATACACATTGTGGTAAGTTCTCTCCATTGCTAATTTTGTTTTTATAGAAAACAAGATAGATGAGGCCACTGTGGGTTACACCCTAACTGCGAAATTATAATTAGTAAATTCGCATGGATGTGTAACCCATGTGGAGCATTACTCTTTTTTGTTTACAGTCTGTTCTTGAGAGATGGGTAATTGTGAAAGTTCATTTACACTATGTTTGGTTTAAGGAATTTGAAAGGGAAAAGAAAAGAAAATGAGATGGAAAACAGTTTTTCTTGTTTGGTTAGGGAGGAAAAGAAAAGAAAAGTGGAAGGAAAAGCAAAATGAGAATGCAAATGTACAAAGTGGAGGGAAAACCAAATTCATTCCATTTTGGTGAGGAAAATGAGAGAAAATCATTTTCTTTTCTTTTTCTTCCAAATTCCTTGAACCAAACATAGTGTTAGGGTCCGTTAAAAACTAGAAAAACGTTGGGAAAACAAAATAGAAAGGAATGTAGATGAAATTCTGGTAGGAAAGAAAAGTTTGGGATAAGCAACAACAACAACAACCCAGTTAAATCCCACAAGAGTAGGGTCTGGGGGAGAGGCAAAAATGTTAACTCAACCATTCAAAATTAGATGTCCCTTCGGGGACATTTGATAATTTGATAATAGATACTCCGTATATGTTAAAACCGGTTTTATTTATTTCAAATTTTCTCTCCCATATTATCAAAGATTAATATTTTTTTCTTATATACGAAGTGTGTGTGTGTAACATGATTACATTTATTTTCCCTTGTATTTTTTTTCAACAGTAATATATGTGCGGGAATTCTCTGGCTACATTCCCAAACATGGAAAGCTATAATCTTTGATGGATTCCCGGAATGGGCGACTTGCCAGAGTCTTCGTGGGGTGTTCCAGGGCTGTTGCTGTGCCAGCGAGCGTACCAAGAAATGTGTTCAAATTCTTCAATGGATGATGGGAATGTGTGCCCGCCTTCAATTTTGTGCAGCGCGTATATTCCTTTTGTGCGTGTTAGAAAATATGTGTGTAGCTTTGATAGCCCAATCTTGTGCAGTTTCTAAGGATTGTTTATTATGGCATACACATATCTTGTGTGGTATTGGGTAATTGGCATCAGCATTTATCATGCAGAATGTGAATATCTTATAGGGAATAAAGGGATTAGAGGATGCTTGAGTTATGACTATTTTTTTATTAAAAAAAAGTAGACTTTGAGATGTGTTAGATGGGTTGTCTCCTTATTGGACAGAGACTCATTATTATTACTCCCTCCGTCCCAATTTAAATTGCCTGTTTTGACTTTTGGGCATATTTAAGAAAAATAAAAAATAGAATTGATTTTTCGAAATTGTCATTACTTTTTAGGAGGAGTGATGATGAATGAAAAAATAAAGTGAAAAAGAGTGACTTATTTTAAGAGTATTTTAGGTATTTTATTTTTAAAAATTTACGAAAACAACTAACATGCAACTTATTTAGAAACGGAGAAAAATGCAAGCATGCAATTTAAAATGGAACAGAGGAGGTAGAATATTAGTTGGAGACTCGAGGGGGTTTCAACATGCAAATTGGTTTTTGTGGACACCACGAGAACGATTACCACGAGAACGATGAGACTGAAGTTGCTTGGGGTTTTTGGTGTTAAGCCAATGAATATATGTGGCACTTAAAGTTCATCATGAACAGAAGAGAAGATGAAACCATGTACCCACACATAAACCATTTTGTGAGGTGATTTACAAGAAACTAATTTTGTTCTCTAGGCGAAGTTGCCCAAACAAATTATAAAGAATTGAATGGATATGAATCACATTTGGCTTTGCCTTGTCGTTAACTACTATTACTAAATATGTATATTGTTTAGAATTCATAACCATATTAAAGAGAAAAAAGAGGATTGAAGAGAAAAACCACCCTTCAAAGGGAAAGTGAAGCATTGGGCACTTAAAGATAAAAAGGGATAATATTTGCAAAAAAAACTAACCCCATAGGCCAAGCCGCACAGACTATGTTCCATTTTGGGATTGGGAAAATACCATCCTCAATGAGGATTTTAAAGATGGAACTTGTAAAAATTGATGGCAAAAAATGATAATTTCTAATCAAACCAAGCAACAAAAAATGAAAAGCAAAAGATTTATATATGGAGTTCCCAATGATCTACTAGAAACTTGGAATGAAAACAGAATGTCACAATTCATCATCTGATGATAAACACAAGGCAATAAGAAATGGAAAACACCATACCAGTTTTGTCTTAATAACTTACTGGAGATTTGGGAAGAAATGCAGAGCCATTCCTTCCCAAACTCCACAACATGTCTCTCCATCACAAAATTGCAAAAAAAAAGAGTAAGAAAGATTTAAACTCTAAGCAGGGAGTGAAATGTCCAAAAAGCTTGGAATCACTGAGACGCACCCAACCACTTTGAGAAGTTGTCAAACTCTGTGTAATCGCTGTCCGAAATCATTGTCTGGTACCATGCCTTCCCTGCTGCCTTAATCTTAGCAGCCTCCTCCTATTTCATACGATACAACAATGAGACAATAAATCAAACCCATATTTATATGATTCATGCTTCACAAAATTGTCCAATTCTAATCATGGGTCAACAATCAAACCCAGTCAATGATAAACATTGCAACATTCATTTTCAGAAATGAGTATATACTATGGCTATGTATCAGCTATCGAGATATATACTCTGTCCTCCAAGCCATTAACCCATAGAAATTTTCATCAAAAGTAATCCTTAAAGTACAGTTCAGGAGACACCAAGAAACGTTTAATGTTTACTTATACTATCATAAGTGCACAATTTGGAAATGATTCTAATCAATACAAGTGCTATAAGTGTTTGACTTAAGCACTTAAGGATGAATTGTATTGCATCAACAATGGATAAGAACACTGTATACTATCGCATTAACAATGTTAAACAGTAAGATAAGTATGAAATGATATAAACACTGAAAGTAATATATGCAGCAGTAAGATTAGTGTTGAAATATTCAGCTTACTAATGGTTAAAGAGAATATACCTTTGAGAGTGGAGTTCTTGTCTTGGAGAGCTTCTCAGATTTTTCCTTGGTACGCTGTGCTTCGGCAAGAAGGGCCATCCTCCGGGCAGTCTTAGCATAAGGATTGAGCTTGAGAAGCACGTTCAGGTTCTTCAATGGATTCTTCTTGCGAACAGCTCTCTTCACTCCCTTCTTGGTAGGTCTCACTACAGACTGCACCTCATCAGAATTGATGATCCTAGCGAGATCAGCATTGGCCATCTTTGGCCTTGGCAAGACATAACCCTTCTTCATCAGAGATGGCTTATCAAATGACCCATAGATCTCATCCAGTTTCTCAAATGCAGACCTCGTCCAGATTATAAAACGCCCAAGATGGCCACCGGGAGCAAGCTTAAGAATGTTCAGACGGCTAACATGACAGATATCTACCCCGGGAATGTTTCGGAAGGCCCTTACCAGCTTAGCGCCCTCAGTAGCATAAACAATCAAAGGTCCCTTGCGAGAAATGTAGCGGCGATTTCGCATCTTACCTTTTCCGGCGCGGATGGCCTGACTATCTATTGCCTTCTCCACATCAGCATACGCACCAATCTCCTTGAGAATCTTAATAGCATTGGATGTCTTCTCAATTCCCTCAGCGGAATCAGAGATCACAAGAGGGATCTCCGGCACAGTCTCAATCCGATGTCCACGAGCAGCAACTAGGGAAGGAACAGCGGATGCAGCTATGGCAGAAGCCGTGGCGTACCTTTTCTGATTCACAGGGATCCTACGGTGCCAGCGGCGCCAGATCTTGGTGGGGGCGAACATTCTCCCACCACGACACATGTTCCCGAACGCACCCTGTCCGGCACGGTGAGTACCGCCACCAGGAACACGGGGGATACGGGACACGGCGCGGCCGGTACCCCATGACTCGGCGGAGGTCTGGTGGCCCGCCTTCGACGACACGGCGTAGGGCTGACGGGAATTTTTGNTTCTGATTCACAGGGATCCTACGGTGCCAGCGGCGCCAGATCTTGGTGGGGGCGAACATTCTCCCACCACGACACATGTTCCCGAACGCACCCTGTCCGGCACGGTGAGTACCGCCACCAGGAACACGGGGGATACGGGACACGGCGCGGCCGGTACCCCATGACTCGGCGGAGGTCTGGTGGCCCGCCTTCGACGACACGGCGTAGGGCTGACGGGAATTTTTGGAGACGTTGGCGTGGACGAAGGTGACCACGTCGGGGCGGATCGGGGCCTTCATCACATTCGCCAGAGGGACTGAGTTGCCGGCGGATCCATCGGTGGCCATGTCATTTTCAAGGGGCTGAACGGAAACGAGAGGACGAGCAGCGGCGGTGGCCATTGCTGAGGAGGAGATGGAGACGATTAGGGTTTGCTTCTGGGAAATGAAAGCGCAAATAAATAGGGTTTTCGTCTATAGGGTTTTCGTCAATTGGGTTCGTGAATTGGGCCCATAAGGGTTTACGTATTTAGGGCTCAAGCTGACTCTGTAATGAATAATGAGAGGGTCAATGGTGCTTTTATGTATTTCGGGTTTTTCCAACCCACAAATCTCATGCGGTGTAAAATGTTCTACTCTTTTTGTTTCAATTTATAGTGTCTATTTCATTTTATGATATTTGACTAAAAAATTTTTTAAATTATTTTATATGAAAAATGATATAGGATAGAAAAATAAAAATTACAAATTAAAATACTACATCAAAAAATCTACAAATTTAGTAGTGACAATAGTATTTTATTTTATCAAATTATTAACAAAAATAGAGAAAGAAAGTTAATGAAGTTTTACCCTGTAAATAATAAACATGAATTATAAGTTGAAAAGGAGTAAGTAAAATTCGTTAACTTTTTTGATCAAACATTAACATTATTTGAGCAAAAATTAACGTAATCTTAATAAATAAATTATATAAAAATTTGACATATCATATATTGAATTTATATTATAACTAAATATATTTTTCTTATAATTTGTAGTCAAATAGTATCACTATTTGATAAAAAGTCAAAACAGAAAAAGTTATTAAGATCGGAGGGAGTAGTATGTTAAGTTGTTAACTAGTGCATTGCGCGAGATTAAAGAAAATTTTATTCAACTTTGTAATTTTTTCAATTTTTAACGTGCTCTTCTTTTAGATTCTAACTCTTAACATCTATTTGGTTGAGAGAAAAATATTTTCTTAGAAAATTCCAATTCTATTTTCTTATTTTTGGTTGTACAAATGGTAGGAAATCATTTTTTAAGACAAATATTTTCTCAAAGAGGAAAAAATAATTTTGAGTTGTTTTAGATTAAAGTTCATTTTCATACTTAATTCTCGAATACTTTAATTTGATTCTTCGAGTTCATTTCTTCTCACCCGCCCCAATCCTCTCCCTTGTCCTTGCCCCGACATTGGCCACCCCCTCCCCCCAATCATAGAGAATGAAACTCTATAAGGGTGGAGGGTTTACATCCCATGTATACTTTTTATACTGCATCATCTCTTTCTTACACATCTGTGTCTTGCCATATTTTATTATTTTCATACTTTTCTTACCTCAAGTAATGCTGCACATACGTCAATTCACCAATTTACCATAATAATTTTTAATAATTAACTTAAGCTAATAATATATATTAATTTAAAAATAGTTTTTTAATAATTAACTTTAATAAATTATACTTCGTATAAAAGAAAAATTAAAAATATCTAAAAATAAATAACATAAAGAAATACTGGAGTAATATACATGAAAATATATTTTTAGGTAAAAATAACTTTAAAAAGTATTTAAATTGAAATTATTTCTAGACACAGCAATGTAGAAAGTGATAGAAAATAAAGCACTTATGAAATCGTGTAAGTAGATCTCCTATGATTTAAAATTTGGAAAGGTAATTTATGTTATTTTTACAATTTGAAGTTTATAAATTATCTATGCATCTATTTAATTCTAATAATTAGTTTAGTTTATTAGGTTAAAAAACTTAGTAATTTGAAATGTTATGAATTACGATAATTAAAAGGATGCTCTATGTGATTAAGATCATATAATGAAAACAATCTCATTCAAATGAAATATTTAAAAAAAAAATGTTGCTATGAACAAATGAATTGTAAGAAAGAACTGTGACAAAAAATACTGACCTCAGTTAAATGATGATTATGAATTGATGAGTCGTGATTCCAAATGAATAGATTGATGACTTTTGTTAGGGGTGTCTAGAAGTACTCTAAGATATATACTCATTTAAATTTGATGTTAAACTTGTCTAAAATGACCTCTAGGATAAATAAAAGTGTTAGAAACGTTTTAAACTTTAAGATTATCAAGTTTATACTTTAGTCCGAAAGGAGATGCAGACCTGGACGAATTAGAGTGTTATAGCTGCCGTTAGTGACACTGTTGCTCCACCATGACGAAGCCGCAGTTCACCGGTCTCCTCGTTGATTCACCGATCTGGTTTGTTAGGGTTTAATTTGTCAAATAATCGAGATGAGTTTGTGGGTTTGTTCTAGCGTAAAATTTATAGATAACGTTAATCCATTTACATAGCGAACTGTAGATTCATTTATGTGAATCGGAAATTGATTTATTGGTTGATCGAGGAAGACCAAATACATACATTTGCTTATTCTAATTTGTGTGATTTGTGTGTGAGTAACCGCAATTTATTTTGAAAAAAACTACTCTGTAAAACAGAAAGCGAGACGATGATGAGATTAAATAATGAAAAAAGAATTAAAGACACGGAGTAAATTGAACACAAATCATAGTTTTTAAAACTGGACCGGATCGGCCAGTCCATTCTAAATCGTAATATGCATTGAATCGATCCTAACCGATGTAAACAGATAAGTACCGGTTGGTCAGGCTGGTCAAATGTTTTTTTTTTTTTTGCAAATTTGTTTTTTAAAAAAATTATCTAAGGAAGGGTTCTAGCACCTAATCTCTTAGACACCCAGTTTAGTTGTAGACCATCTAAACTAAAATATTTTTTTGTAATACTTTAGCTTAATGTTTCTAAATATTTAATAGTTAAAAAATAAAGACTCTTTTGGTTTGATTTTATTTTTAAAAATTTTTAAAAATATATTGTTATAGCTATGATTTAAATACTAAATCATTGATACATTTAATATAATTATAAAATGCATTCATGCCAACATTTCATTTGAGTGTTTTTAAAATATTGAGTTAACTTATTTGAAAAGCTAAAATCATCTCTTTTTTTAAAAACTATTTAATATTATTTAAAATATGTAATTTTTATTTTTTTATATTACTACCTACATCCCAGTGTATTTGTTCAGTTTGATTTTTTTCGATTCAAACTGGACAAACTTTGAATTTTAACTACTTTCAATTTATATTACACATGAGCATAATGAAATACTACCTCCGTCCCGGAGTATTCGCCCAGTTTTGACTTTAGGAACTGTTCATCTAAGCACTTTGACTCATCAAATTCTCTCAATGTGTAAGCCTAAATATAGTCATGTGTGATATTGTTTGATTTGTCTTAACATATAGATTATTAATATATAATTTCTATAATTTTTTAATATACAATTTACAAGATAAAATGGATTAAAGAAGAGTATTGGATGGTGTGTAAAAATAAAAGTGAACAAATACTCTGGGACGGAGGGAGTATAATTTTGAAAATCTTTAATACGGTAAATCTAACAAAATCATTTTTACGTTAAAGTGCATTGCATTTTTTATTTAATTAAAGATCAATGTTTGTATAGTTTGATTCAAAAAATTAAATTGGAAAAATAGAATGGAAGGGAGGGAGTATAATTTTGGTGTCTGTGTTTGAATCAATGGGAACTAATGAGGAAGAGTGGCCCGTCTAGTTTTTAAAACTACACTATTTGGAGTACAAACTTTTCTGGCCAGAGGCAGAAACAATTGGCCAAGAATGATGGAAGCTCTACTCGCCCTTCCATCTTCATCCGTTTCGCTCCAGCGCAACTCAGCTCGCACTTCTCCGGCTCCTTATCGCCACCTCAACCACCGATCTTCCGCCGCCGCCGCAAAACCGGCTCCTAAACTAGAGCCTAGCAACAAGCCTATTTCTTACAACTCTCGCTCTAATTTCAGCCCGGACGTCTCGGTGGCTCCTCCTCCTCCTCCTCCGCATCGACCGCTCACATCCGCTGCGGAATTGGAATTCATCTCCTCCGGCCACGTATCTAACCTCAATCTCTACGCAGACATTGCTTCTAACCTCGCCCAGGACGGGAAGTTCCAGGATTTCCTGACAATGGTGGAAAACGTCGCCTCCTCGGCAATGGAAGCTGCGGATTTTTTCCGGCTCCTGAATGTGAAACACATTTCTACTGGAATTGCACGAAGGATCGAAGAAGGGAGCGTAGGGAGTGTTGTTGAGCTGATTGGCAGTGTTCAGAAGCTGCAAATTGATCCTCGCCTGCTGCTAGTTGATGCTGCTAGTGACGCCCTTCGGAAGGAGTGTCAGCGAATTGTGGAACACGGACAGGTAGAAGAATTTGTTACTTTGATGGAAACACTCCAAGGTTAGCTGCTCGCTGTTTTTACATTGTGATTTCTCTTATTTTTTACTTCTAATTTGGGAAGACGATTGTATCTCATATGTTCGATAGTTCCCCTGTTCCAGGGTATGGTTTGCCAATTAAAGAATTCGCGGAGCCCTCGAAAATCATAAGGCTTTGTGTAAGAAAATTAGACCCAGGTGCTGCCATCAGGTATTAGGAACCACTACGTTTGAAATAGTGGAATTGATCAACTGCTGTAGAAGTTCCTTAAAAGTAACATGTTAGATGGAGAAACTAAGACTGCATGATTTTCTTGCTGGGATTCTTTTTTTCTCTATCTATCTATCTTTCTATTTCTTGTTTCTTTCTCTTTTGGGATTATTTGTATCTCTCCTGGTGATATCAAAATTTCTCAGTAGTCAAGAGTGTGTTCTTAGGGTATAGAGTTTGAAGAGATGCACTGGCTAAGCCACCACATGTTACTGTGTTGTGCAATGTTAAAGAGTGAATGCAATGCATCTGCATAAATTTTCATATGGAAAAGACTCACCAAACATTTGTTTTGGAAATATAAAAATTTTATTTTTTCCAAATGCAATTGAGTTAATCTCTTTGTTTCAACTAACTTGGAATTCATTTTTTAATAATAGGTACTTGTAACATTAATGGAATAATTGGATAAGATTTAGGTGGCCAAATCTCGCTTTAACTAATTTCTCACACAATTTTGCATTGTGCGTAAGTAATGAAAATATAGATACTTGATAAAATAGACTAGATTCATGGTGGGGCCCCAGTATGGACCATCCCTAGCTCCACCCATGAAGGGGGTTCTGATGGTAATATGATATCTGTTATCTCTTACTTAATGCTTGGGATTAATTCCTTAAACACTAATATTGACAGGTATGCACGTATTTTTTCACACGCACAAATTCTGTTATGCACAATAATTCTTGAATTTGGGAAGAAAGGTAACTTGGAATCTGCTCTCACTGTGTTCGAAGCATCAAAACAGGGGTTGAATTCTCCTAATATGTTTGCATACCGGGCAATTATAGATGCTTGTGGTCTTTGTGGTGACTACTTAAAGTCTAGAGCCATATACAAGGTACTAATCCTGCAAATCACATCTAAGACTTGTTAATGTTTTCGACAAACATTTCATTGCATAGTTTTGGTTCTAGGGTAGTATCATTGCAGATATCCATGTTTCTCTTTTGTCTTAAACTGCAAACAGTATAACAACTTTACAATCTCGTAGCATTGAAGCAATTTGTTAAAGAGTATCTCACATTGGAAAAATGTGAAGAAAATAATGGGTATATAAGCTCTTGAGTTGAATTAAGTAATCAACTGGATTCAATCTTTTAATGTGGTTCGACCCAAGTGTCTTATTGTCTAATCCAGTTAACCCTACCCCATTCTAAATTCTATCACAATTCAAAAACAACAAAACCTTAATCTCAAGTAAGTAAGGGTAAGACACCATGTCGCCATTGGCTGAGTCGGACCCGTGATTTTCCTAGCAATATACATCTGCCCGTCACCTCCTCATCTACAGAACCAGTTCATAACATTGAAGCAATTATTTTGAATTATTCTGTTTTCAATATATTTTCTCAATTAGATGGATTAGGGCTTGAAGGCTATTAGGAAATACTCCCCTTTCCCAATCAAGAGAGAACACTGTGTGGTTAAGATTTCTGCAAAGGAGAGATAAACAGTATGAACAGTACAATCCTCTCTACAAATGGAGAGATGCAAGATAAGTTGACAGACTAAAAATGAAAACATGCAACATAAATTGGGAGAGAGGGAGTACATCTTTCAATACATAGAACTTGTTCCTCCATGGATTTATGCTTTAACTATATATGATGTCACTGCAGGAGTTAATTTCTCAAGGCGCAACCCCAAATACGTATGTTTTCAACAGCCTCATGAATGTAAATGCTTGTGATTTAAGCTACACGTTGTCTCAGTACAGGAAAATGAAGGCAAGTTCTTGGTATTCCCTTGTTTGCATTCCCAAATTCTCTCCAATGCAAGTGCTCCCGTACAGACGTACATTAATGAATTGCATACGTGAAGCATATCTTCTGGTCTTATAGAGTGAAATGCAGGCTTCAGTAGCTCAATAGAAGATGTGGTCTTGCCTTTCCATTTGTTTTTTTATTCATGGATATAATGGAATCATTTATTCAATTTTTTTCATGTACCCAGGAGTTATGCATTACAGCTGATATGACATCCTATAACATCCTTCTAAAGTCGTGCTGTCTTGCTGGAAGAGTTGATCTAGCCAAAAACATTTATAAGGACGTGAAATCTTTGGAATTGACGGGAGCATTGAAATTAGATGTCTTCACGTACAGCACCTTAATTAAGGTATAATTGTCTGTAGCTATTGTATATAGAGGCCGTAGCTATTGTGTAGGTATTGTATATAGAGTCCAAATGCATCAAGAAACCATGTTCAAGATTTAGATCTCAATGTACCTGGGTGGATTCTTTCTTTTACAGACCTCAATGCAGATGCATAGGCGTATCCATGGATTAAAAGCAAGTGGATATATATAGTACACTTGCATTATATGACACAGTGGACATTGCTTTTTCACTGTTTTTGTCCTTGAGTCTTGTTTCACGAATGTACATCCTTTGAAATTTAGTAACATACAACTATTAGAAATTATCAAATACAACTACATTTTTTATTTGATAGTGCTAAATACACACCCCATTTGGCTGAATTCAATCCATTTATAGGAAATGGACAACTTTGCTCTCTCACATTTTTTTAAACATTTAAAGATAAACTTGTCTATTTGATATAAATGGGGTGGATATAGCCGAATGAGATGTGGATTTAGCAACAACCTTTTATATATATTCGTTGGCTTAACTAAATTTAACAAACTCAACTTGTTTGTTGAAACACTTTTTTTTTGTTTGTAAAAACATCAAAGATAATGTAAATTAGCTTCGTTTGTTCAAATAGATTCTTTTTTTTGGGACAATTAAGTTTAGATACATGACTCTTTTTTTCTAGGGACGGATGAATTATGTGTATAAAATGTGTCTTGCTCTCATGCTAATCCGTCCATGTAAAATAAGCTCAGTTTTCTGTTATCAGATGCTTGGATTGGCTTGTAGATTCTTTTCCCATACGGATCATACGTTACTATTTGTTGTCATATGCAAATGTCATTCTCAGATTAATTCCTAAATCCTCTGCTAAATTTTTTAGGTCTTTGCAGACGCAAAAATGTGGCAAATGGCTCTCGAAATCAAACAAGACATGATATCAGCCGGTGTTACTCCAAATGTTATTACATGGTCATCATTGATCAGTGCATGTGCTAATTCAGGCCTTGTAGACCAAGCAATTCAGTTGTTCAAGGAGATGCTTCAGGCTGGTTGTAAACCTAGTGCAAAATGTTGCAACTCTGTCCTTCATGCTTGTGTTGAAGCATATCAGTATGACAGGGCCTTTCGGCTTTTCAGGTCCTGGAAAGAAAATAGGCTGCAGGACAATTATAAGAGAAATATTGACAACAGTATGATAGACAACCACAGTCCTGGAAATTGTGCTAGCTCACAAAACTGCACCTCTGGATCAAGTCTAGAACTGTTCTATATTGAATTTATACCCACAACATCAACTTATAACACTTTGATGAAGGCATGTGGCACTGATTACCATCGAGCTAAAGCTTTGATGGATGAGATGAAAACCGCGGGTCTTTCTCCTAACCATATAAGCTGGTCCATTTTGATTAGCATATGTGGAAGCTCCGGAAATGTACAGGGGGCAATGCAGGTAAAAAAAATCTCCTACTACAAAAAGGATCTGCACCTTTACTTTTCTACATATTTATCTGACACACACACACACACACCCTCCGTCCCATAATTGATTACAATTTTGGAAATACGAGCAAAATCTGTGTCTTTTAAATTTATTTTATTTAAAAATTGGTATAGAAATAGAAAATACAACATGCATATTAAAAAACTACGTCAATCCATGCTGGGAATTAGAGACTCTGGGCTATACACTTAATATTTATTATTCTTTGTTAAGGGAATAATGGGGTATAATTATTATAAGAAAATCCAATCTATGTGCTCGCCTTGCCGGAACATAAAAGCAGGCATCGAAACCAGGGGGTATCCGAAAGTGCCTTCCACAGGTCTTTACAAATAGATTTATGGACCTGTGGTGAGTTCTGAAAAATAGGACCTCAGAGACTCTATGAGAAAATTGATGTCACCTCATAGTAATTTTTTGAGTAAACAAAAGTTATCAAAATGTCAATATCGTAACATGGTTAATCTCTTTTGGGCGGGAGGGAGTATATATCTCAAAAGTAATCGGAATGTCCCAAAAGAAAGTTTACACTCTCTTTTCACCACCTATCACTTTATATCACATCAAATCAATACCCCACCCCCAAAATCAAATCACCCTTTTTTTCTTTCTACTTTTATCACTTTCAACCCACCCCACCACTTTCCAATCACTATTCTCTTTTACTTTTTGGTCACACCAAGGGTCACTATTCTCCTTCAATTCCGTGTTTTTTCTTTATATATGTATATAGGTAAAAGAGATCTAATTATGGAAGGCATCAAACCCTTCTATAATATGTTTCCTACTAAAATTCTAACAATTACGGAGTATAATAAAAAGAAAGTTAGAAAGAATATCAATGATAGAAATGAGTCCCATCATCTCTGGTGGAGCTATAGATTCACTGTTTTTTGACTTTGGGGTATGATTGGATAAACCAAAATGACTCTTTAAATTGTTTGGCTTCTAAATAGTGAAGTAGTGAAGTACCAATTAGTCAATGAAACTTTTGGCGCTCATAGCTCTATGTTTTATACGTAGGGGTCAGGTTACGTACATCTGACCCACTTACCCTGCAATGGGCAGGATACTTTAATGCATTGGGGTAATGTTGTTGTTGTATCAATAACAACAACAACAACAATATTAAGGTCCAATACCCTCCCCCTCAAGCTGGAGCATGGTGGTTTCAAATAATCAAATGCTGATAATGGATTTCTTAACCGTAGAAGCCATTTCTTAACTTCCCAGGAAATAGGAGTCATCTAAAAGAATTTAGTAGGCCGTGACGGCAACAATGAGTTAGCAAACAACTTGTCCAATTGGAATCACAATATCTGTAGTGTCTTAAGTAAGAAGAAACGGGGAAAAAAGCCTTGGTCTGGTCAAAACTTAAGATATAATCCTCCATTACAAAACAAAAGATAGTTACTATTCACATGATCAAATAGATCAAACTATATCTTCTTTCTTAAGTATTTTCATCGATAGTTTGACCAAAAAATAAAACCTTGTCACCTCTTCTTTTGTAGAACTTTTGATGTAGTTTTTAAATATATGCATTTTATTTTTCATTTCAACACCAATTTCCAAATAAATTGAATTGAAAATAATTCATTCAACCAACTTCAAGTGTGCCTTTTAGTTTGAGACAGATGTAGTATTACTCAAGACCTAGATAACAGCATCCCAATGTTTTTGTCTGCGACATCCCCATAACCTAAGATAATGTGCGAAAGCTATAAGCCAACTCTGAACGAGTTACGGTAAGGAAAGTCATGAGTTCAACAAGATGACAATATCTTTCTGGGTCTTTCTAACCAATCTCGTTGGCTAAAGCCAGTCAATGGCTCTGCGCCATAGGGACACCCACAAGCCGTGCTTCAAGTAGACCTGTTCTAGATGAATTATCCAGTGCACATTTCATTTGACACAAAAACAAACCATTAAAATTACGTGTAACTGCTACACCCTTAAAATATTTTGGAGGTACCAAGATATCAATTAAAGTCAGCAATGAACATATCATTGTTGTTTGCGATAACCAAATCATCAACATAAAAGTTAAAATGTGTATTTCCATATTTTTATTAATATACATAAAAAGTGAGTACTCAACATTGGACTGAGTGGAACCATAAGAATGTACGGAGTAATAGACTGAGTGAAACCATAAGGTTGCAAGGAAACCTCAATTTAACCAACCAACACCGGGGGCGCTTGATGCAGTCAAAATAACGACTTGCGCAAGTGGTACACCAATCCAGTGTGTTGAGAAGAGTATCCTGATTGGAGGTATTTATAAACCTTCCCGACAAGATGACCATGTAAAAAAGCAAGTTAGACATCCATTTTATGAAGCCCCCACTCATTCGCTGCCCCCACTGCCAAGAATGCACAAACACTAACCATTTTCGTTGTAGGTGCAAAAGGTTTTTTGGAATCAATAATGATTTTCGTCTGTTTCCGAGAATGACCACCCCATGCCTTGTATCACTCAGTAGTGTCATTTGCTCGATATTTGATCTCATACACCCATTTGGAACTAATGGCCTTTTCCTAGGAGGTAAGTGCTCCAGCATCCAAATACCATTGGACTCAAGTGCATCAATTTCTGCTTGCATAGCCATAGCCGTCTGCCGATGTACATCTTTCACCGCCTCAACAAAAGTAGTTGGCTCAATTTCTGTGCTTACTGTTCAAAGTGTCTGCCAATGTAGAAGAGTTATCGTAGTTCAAAGTGTCTATTTCACTTTCTGTGCTGAATGTTTGACCAACAATATCTCTCAAAGTATATTAGAATTTTTAAATATGATATATAAAAACATATTTCAAATTTCAATACAAATGTTATGGTATCATATTTAGGGGTTGTTTGTTTCAGCCTCTTAATGGTTCAGATGTCTGAATGGTTCAGCACTTAATGGTTCAGACTGTTTGTTTCAGCCTCTTAATGGTTCAGATGTCTGAATGGTTAAGAGATTTGCCTCTGAATGGTTAAGTATTATACAGAGTCTGAATGATTAAGACCTCTTATCTGAATTGATCAGACATTTGCCTCTGAATAGTTAAGCAATATACTAGCCCCTTATTGTATATTCTATATAGTATATTCTATATAGTTAGGCCCCTTTCAGCCTCTTATTGTATATTCTATATAGTTAGGCCCCGTTCCGTTCAACTTATTTTTTCTGCTTTTTTCTTAATCTTATTAAAATCAGATCAGATCAGATCAGAACCAATCAGATCAGATCAGATCCAATCAGATCAGATCTAATCAGATCAGATCTAATCAGATCAGATCCAATCAGATCAGATCAGATCTAATCAGATCAGATCAGATCCAATCAAATCAGATCAGACCAGATCAGATCCAAATAAGAATTATTATTATTATTATTATTATTATTATTATTGTTATTATTATTATTATTATTATTACTACTACTACTACTACTATTATCATTATCAATATCTTTATTACTCCTTACTTTTTAAATTCCATATTTTTTAGTTGTTTCACTTGATACGGTTCTTTTAAAAAATAAATTTAATTCTATTTAAAAAATATAAGAAGAAAGAACATGAAACTTTTTGTGTGATTATAATTTATGTAGACTAAAATAAATGATATGAAGCACAATTGTTTTCTTAAAAATGAAAAATAATAAACTTTAGAAACAAGCTAAATAGAAACCCGAGAAAGTAATCTTTAATTATTAATGAAAAATGTATTATTTCTTTGCTTAACATTGATAATATAAGGATGTGATCTTTTAATAAAAATATTAATGATTATTAATAACATTGATTATCTATATTAAATAACATTTTAGTGCATATATAAATTAAATAATTATTCTAATGTTTATATAAACTAATTATTAAAATATTAAATCAATATTATTCATTAAAAAAATCATAAAATAAAAAATATTATTACATTATAATATGAATGATTATTCTAATATATGAGTTAATTAATTTTGTTTCATTAAAAAATAATCATAAAAAAATATTGATTATATTATAAT